CTAAGCAGAAAGAAGTCTGCATTGCACTTGAAGAACACTATTAGAGTTGGCAGAGGTTCTTAATGGAAGAAACACAAGTTTGCTTTCCCACTCCTTTCTAATCTGCAATGCTTTATAAACATGGAAAAGCTGCAACCAGATCTGCTTTCAGATCCTAGATCACCTTTAACTTTCTCAGATCAGAAACCGAATTTTCTTTTGAGAAAACTACCATGTGCTATGGAATGGAGTGCAAACTTTCCATTAGTTTTTGATACCTAGCAAAAACAGATCCTGCCAGAGCTCTTCTGCATCCCTGCTCCCCAGGCAAGCAATTTTAGTTCCAATTTCCCATGACTTACTTCACAAAAAAGCATAGCCTACAACAGGAACATTGAAAAAAGGTCATTGTAAGAATATCTAAAGTCATGGCATAAGGAAAGTTTTGTACAGATCTGCAAACAGCAGCACATTTAAGGTATGAATGCCAAGTTAGTTAGTTCTAAATATTCTGAACAAAGTACCAAACACCGCTATTTCCCTAAAAACAGGAATTCTGAAGTTGCATAATTTTTGGTTCAAATACTGATGAGCAATTTTCATTATTTATACTTTATACTACAGATCTGCTGCAAAGGCAAACAGACTGTTTATTATCCTTTAGGAAGGACTTGAAGTTGTCAGCTAAGGTGAACTATTTCACACTATGTAACAATTATTTGGACTTTCCTGGGTACAGGTCTCGGCTAAGTTTGTTCCACACTTTTAAGAGTTATTTCTGATATACCATAAGGAAGACTAGAGTTCAAAAAGGTCAAGAATCCTACAGAAATTTAACTATTCTGCCTGGCTTTACCTTACAAAGGCAGCCTAGGGGTTTTTTTGATCTACTGATCTTGATCCAAAACTTACCAAACCACAGAAGTGAGACCAGCTACAAGAGAGATTAGTCTTTAAGATGTACATCAGGATTTTCTTTTGTATCACCTAGATGAGAAATACTTGCTGACTAGAGTTTAAAGCAATGTACAGAAAGTGAAACAGAGCTATACGCTAACATGCCGATAGAAGAAGTTGTTATATTGTCAAATACAAGTCAGAGTATCACTTGCAAAGCACAAGCAACATTAATAGCCACACAACAAAGGAACTCTCCAAATCTTTTAATTTTGCTTCCTCCCTTTACTATCTTCTCTTCTATAAATATTTCTTATCCAGAATTCATTTTCTTCCATTGAAGCCAACACTGTCAAGAAGATAGACTCTCCTGAGAAAGTGATCTTAGAAGGCAAGTAGATTTGTAACAGTTATCTGTGAAATACCACAGCACCTTAATAGTAATTTGCAGGCCCGTGAGCGCAACAGTCATCTTCTTGTCTTTCATACAGCAAGTCTAACTTCTTAACAATGAAACACCCTGCATAAAATTCCATAGACGTTTTAACACCTGAGAGATTTAAAAATCGAGAACAAAGGAACATCAATGGAATAGAATTAAACTCTTAGAATTGTGATTTGCATAAGCTTCCACTTGCAATATACACGACTGCTAAGTCTGCCTGAATTAACATTTCAAAAACACAAGTAGTAGCAAATATAGTAAGGATTATCCTCCTAGCAGTTGTTTTGTAACAAGTATCATAGAAAGACAGAAACTACTAGCAAGAGATGTCACTTTCAAAAGCCTCTCCTAATAAGATTTTAAACAAGACCTACCTAAAGTTTAAAGATTACTTTTTGTTGGTGGTGGTTTTTCACAAATCATCTACTCCCCAGGCAAAGTACTGGAGCAGAAACAGTGAGAGTAACTTAAAAACAACCTATTTCAGATCACAACCTTAAACGTAGTACTAGTGCCCTCATCTTTCAGAAAGTAAACAAGACCTGAAAGCAACATCTACTGATTCGATATCGTTAACAACTTTCCATGAAAAATAACTTTAGAACTAACTCCCAGGAGCAGCTACCTGAGATACTCACAATAACATTACAAAACAAACCCAATTAAGTTGGAAGAGATACCCAACTCTTCAGGGTCTGAAGAACCCTAAGGAAGTAGACTAAAGTCAAACCTACCATTTTCCTGACAAAATATTATGCTGGCTTGGCAAGAAGTTGAGAGAATTCCATGGTATTTTGAAGGCAGGTACAAGCAAAACATGCTTTACAGCCAGAGCCTCATGAATGAGGTTACCAGCATCAAGCCCACCCCCCCCACCATGACCTTTCTTTTCATATACAACACTGTCAGAGATAGCAAGCACGATGTGCGCCTATGCATTAGTTCGTCTTTTATGTAAACTTAAAAAGTAGTTTAATATCAACAGTTTAAGATGCTTTAGGAAAAGCCCCATAGATATTTATCTGCATTTTAGACAGCTAAATGCATAAAAACCTTACCTCAAGTGACCATATGTAGGTTAGATACAGAAGAATTAGCCCAATTCTGATTTGCCTTTGAAAATTTTATGCCGCATGTGCAGAAAAACTAAAGGACTTCATAGCTATTTCAGAGCTCTGAGTAAGAAATCATTTGAACATTATGCATGATATAAGCAACAATCCTCTTCTGAATCTTCTCATCTATATTATTTTACCTGGCCTAAATTCAGCCCCAACACCTAGTTTTAAGCCTCCCCCATTACACGCACCTCCTCCTTCTCGGATTACAGCCTGACAAATACTGTAAATGCCGAGATTGGGTGTACAAAAGACAGGGTTCTTTCCCTTCCCAGTAGCAATCAGTCTTTATTGGCCTGTCTTGTCTGTTCTTGCCTGATCTACAGACCTACCATATTTTTGTTGCATATGCCCATTTGAGGAGTAAGAATTTAGTGAGCACGTGCTGAGCGTATGGGCAAGGTAATTCCCTGCTCATTCCCACATTACTTAGAAGCAGCCTGCTCCTCTTCCTATCAAAGAAGCTAGCCACAAATCCTGCTGTTTGCTTCTTCCAATGGGTACTATTCCCGCTGTTCCCATTTGTTACGTTGCAAAGCCCAGGGCTGTGACAAAGGAGGAGAGATGAAACGTGAGTGCCACTGACAGAACAAATCTTCAGGAAATTCACTTTCAGGAGCTCCACTGAAAACAGAACAATTAAGAACAGGCCAAGAACTGGCTTAACTGGACTACCAAGCAACACTGGGCTACCAGACCATTGGCTGGGCAGCCTAGCCCAAGCAAAACAGCAGAAGAGAACAATTTTCCCTGTATATCAGTTCCAGCTGGGTTAGCTTTTTAAGAGCAACATACTCAACACAGTGATCCCACATGCTCTATAGGGAAGTTGACACATTCAAAACCAAGTCTTCTTCCAAGACAAAAAGTTCAGAGTGGCCTTCTTTCCACAGTATTGCTATCTGCATAGCTGAGACATTCAGCTTCATCAATCAGCATGGCAGGCGAGTTTTAACTCAACCACTGAATTTGACAGTCAGAAAGTTTACCCCAGCAGGCTGACAGACATACCTTCTGCCCTATTAAAATCATCAGATTTTAAGACTAGGGAGAAAAATATCTAATAAATGTTTGTAGAATTACACAGCTTATACATAAATTTTCTTATGTACTGATGTCTCTAGCAGCTATGGCCAGAAGTTAACCACAGAATATGAGTATGAGTAGTCCCAACAGACACACTACACTGTATCTAATTTTAGCCCACCTGCATATGTTCACTGCCTTCCCAAAAACCAAGACTAAACAGTAGTTAAGAGCCACGTGGACAGCTATGAAACCACTGCAAATATTTAAGTCCTTGCTGCTATTGTCCTTCCTAAACACTAAATCCTTTACTCCCCCCCCCAAAAAAGCACAAAACAGAATTAAGAACTCATCTGCTACCATAATGTAATGAATAACGTTCGAATGGGAGGGGAAAAAAAAAAAAAAAACAAAACAGCCCACACTGCTATTTCTGCCCTGTAACATCTAGCAGATCCCAATCTAGCAGCAGGATCACTCCTTACAAGGCACTGTATACATGCCCACACACAAGTACATAAATCCACTACTATCTATACAAAGAAATACATGCACGTGCATACACCCTAAACGCCTTCCTCAACTATTTCAAGAAAAATGCACATCCCCAAGGACATTCTAATGCTCTCACGTCCCAAAATTAGCTTTTTGCATAATTTTCATTGCTCCTGATGAGCAATTAAGATAGTAATGGCATGATTTTTCTTTCTGATGTTAGAATCTCCACTGTCCATTTCAGAGCAGCCAAGAATTGAATTAGCATGAATCACCACCCTTAGGTGGTACGTTTCCATTTTCGTATGCTTTGTGACTAGAAGATGGTAGTTTCTAAAACCATTCCAAGAAGTCACTTTCACATATTAAAGAAGCTCCCAAGTAATTCAGGATTTAAAAAAGAATCAAATTCAAACTAACGCACAACAGTATTTCATGTATAAAAACATACTCTCAACTAAATTTAGAAAAGAGTACTTATTGGAAAAGAACACACAATAGGTCCAGCATTCACTGCACAAAGTTCGTTGTAGTGTGTAACATCATCACAACCTAGCATCCTTTTCAAGCCTCAGTACACATAAATTAAAACAATCTGCTTTATTACCAAACAACTACAGTCAAATCTTAGCCCTGCAGAAATCCCAGGTATCTAGATGTGCATTAATTACTTCTGTGAGACCGGCATAAAGCCTTAACTCTTCAATTCTGTATTAACCATATATCTGCTGTATTGAACAGAACACATAAAATTGCGTTTTGAAGAAAACATGCTAGAAAACAAGGTATCAACAGATTACGGCAGGGAATGCCAGGATTTGAGTTTATCCTCAAATGTCTTGCAAGCTCATTATACCAGCTGGCAAGGTATAATACTTAAGGAGAGACAAGTTCTCTGCACTCCATCCTACGTAGAAAGATTATACCAAGGTGGAACCCAGAATTGCTCGGTAAGGGATGTCTGGGAACGCAAAGGTGAATTAACAGTTGTATATCCAGTTGCAGAAAGAAACTGCTCTTACCCTTCACCTAATACTTACTGTTGGCTCCCACATCCTCAGCTACTCCAGAACCTCTCATTCTCAGGTATGTGAATCCCAGTATCAGAAAGAACAAGCATGCAGCAGTTAAGAGGAACATGGACAGGTAATGTGCACTGAAGCCTCCAGTGGTGGATACCTCCTCTCTTTTGAACTGTTGGAGAAGCTCCTCCTCGGGCTCTGAGAGATTCTTCTTGTAGGTGTTTTTCAGGTAGGTATGATTTGAACCCGTATGATTGGAGTGGTTGAGTCTAAGGGAGGAGGTGGTTCCACCCGGGGGAAGGCTGTTGGTAGCTGAATAGATCCTGGATTCGACATTATAGCTACCGGCAGCACCGCCGAGAACGTGATTATTGGTCGCTTTCCTAACGGTGCCTGGAGAGTCAGTGATTTTACCGCTGTCCACCTCCGTGAGCGGCGGTGGCAGCAACAACACCGGAGGGGATTTCTTAGGTAGGCCGATGCGGTATCTGGGGCTGGGAGGACCAGAGTCCACATTTTCACATCCTCCTCCTCCGCCTCCCCCCGCCGCCGCCGCCGCCGCCTCCTCCTCCTCCCGATTCCTGCCCCTGTCTAGACTCCCGGCAGCCGCCGCCGCCCTGTCATTCGTTACGACTACAGCAGCACCGCAGCCTCCGCCAGCCCTTTCTTGGCCCGTCTCCATCACGCCAGCGCCGGCTGCAGCGCATTTGCCTGTTATGAATGGAGCAGGCGACTTGCTGAGGCTCCGTCTGGGCCGGCGAACCGCCGCCTCCTCCTTCGGTACCTGCTGCCTGCCCCCCGCCGCCGCCGCCGCCTCCTCCTCCTCCTCCTCCGAGTCGGAGTACTTGCCCCTGCCGCCGCCGCCGCCGTAGGGGAGGAGCCGGTTACCGTTCACGGTCCGGTTCTTCCACCGCTGCTGCTCGCTCTCCGCCTCCTCCTCCTCCTCTTCGTCGTCCTCCTCCCCGCCTTCCTCGTCGCCGTCCCCGGGCCCCCT